GCAGCCACAATGTGACGCGAAGTGTGCATTATTTTCTAATAATTTAATGGACCGGAGTCAATTTTTCCACTTAGACTACAATTTTAAACCTTGTAACGGAGGCTTGAGACTAATGCAGTTAATAATTAAGTTATTAGAGAGAGAGAGAGAGAGATTACCTCGCTAGTGAGAAATGTCATGCAGCTTTTAAGTTGCTAAACTATTTTACTGATAAAATCGTCAGAATGGGAGAGAGAGAGCGGGAGAAAGAGAGTATGTGCTTTCCATACATGATTAAATGTAATTTTGTGGCAAAAACATGGAAATATATATATTTTTTTACTATATTTATTTGCTTGGTCAGTCTTATTGTGGGTTTTGGTTATTTTGCTGTTTTAGGCTGTAAGGACCTTTGAAATAACTGATATAGACATGTAATTGGTTGATGTAATATTGACTTTAAAAGAATAGTTCACCAAAAATGAAAATTTGCTGGAAATTATTATTAATAAAATTTCACAATATCCCTGTTTACTTGATCAAATAAATGCAGCCTTGGTGAGCATCAATCCATCCATCCATCCATCCATCCATCAAGTTTATTCGTGTCATTACTTCATAACATTTACAGTACAAAGCTGCTGTGTGGCTGTTAGCGTCATGCTTGCCTCAGTCTGGACTTAATAAGGAAAACTTTGCATATTACCAACATACTGTGAAAGACTGAAGTTATTTGTTTAAAAAGGCCTGTCGTTGTTTACACACAATGAATCACGCAAACATCTCTTCACTATCTACGTGGAGGGCGATTAGTGAGAAATACTTAAACAACCTGGAGGTCCATAATATGGAGGTTCGGTCTCAAGCTTCACTGAAATGTGTTGAAAGACTGAAGTCAAATCCTGTCCTAAAAGTCATCTGTCACTGAACAAATGGAATACAGGTATGTTAAGTTCTTGAAGCAGATTTAAAGGGGTCATATGACGCGATTTCAATTTTTCCTTTCTCTTTGGAGTGTTACAAGCTCTTGGTGCACAAAGAAGATCTGTAAAGTTGCAAAGACTAAAGTCTCAAAACCAAAGAGATATTCTTTATAAAAGTTAAGAGTTAAGCACGCCTACCTAAAACGGCTCATTCTAACACGCCCCCACATACCTAGGTCACGATCTGGGAAGGTTTGCATAACGCCACCCAAATGTTCACGCAAAGAAAGAAGGAGTAACTTTTAGTCTCGCTGTAGTTTTGTTGACGCTGCCGCCATGTCCTGAAGACGCTGTGTGCTTCGTTGTGAAAGCGAAACTACTTTGATTGGTCTTCCAAAAGAGGACGATATCTGCTTCGTCATGCCTAGAGCTGATCCGTGCTGGTCGCTGAGGTAATACATCAACTTTCACTGTGGACGAAGCGGAGTCCAGCCCGCCTCAGCTCACTCTATCCCAGCCTCAGCACACGCTAAGCCGGGGCTTCCCCTCACGGTAGGCCACTGTGATTTTCGTTGCCACTGATGATTCAAACGCGAGTTTTGGGCAGTAGAGTAGCACTTGTTTGTTTGTCATTTCTCCGATCACAAATGCAGACAGAGTTTTATGTTTACGCGGCGCGATGCAATGCAACGCAACACGTAAAAAGACAGTATAAGTCATTATAATCAGTAATTGTGTCCCCACTGGATGCAACAAATGCCTCGTTTGTAATGGGTTTTAATGTTTATAATGTTTTTTTTACTTTAAACCGTATAAACACATTTCATTACACCAAATACACAAAATAATGTTCTTTTTAGCAGCATCATATGACCCCTTTAAGACAAAGCAAAAAAAGTTCTTAATAAAAAAAAAAAATTTTTTAATGAAGACTGAATGTGTATTTATGAGAAGATGTTTACCAATCCTTATCAAATGCCAGTGTTCTCAAAACAACAAACCCTCCACAAGTTAAGTGCTCCACATGTACAAACATCTGGCAAGGAAAAACAAGCCCCAAAGATTCTAATCAAACAATCCTGGAAGACTGCAGACAAACGAAATGACCATTTCTGATGGTATACATGTCAAAGTACAGTTTTGTAATACAATATTTTCTACAAGCATCGATTTTAAAATCCATTTAACAAATCGTCTGGCAATTTTTATTATGAAACCTATTTATATTATCTATTTTAACAGTCATATTGTGCATTTACTTTAATATAATATTTGTATTCCACCCTGCAGTCCATTTACAATGTGAGCAAAAACCACACTCTCTTTAACCTTTAGAATTTAACTATTTATTTGAACTATTTATGCCTTTAAGAAACATAACTTTACATGTGAAATGAGCAACAGTGCTTTACCTTTACCAAATTCATATAAAATGTATGACCAAAATCAGTATTTACTGTATTTTTCATAATGCATCAAGCTATTTCATCTTAAAAGATCAAGAAAAACTCAATTGCTTGTGATTTAAGCCTTTTAAAGTTTCCCAATGGTGATCATAAAAACCTGATTTTGACTCCATGAATGATGCCAGTGGAATAAATTTGGTATAGTATTAGGCAATGGAAAGTCTATATATTTAACTGCTGGCTCATCCAAAAAGCAGAAAACATCTGACGGCTTCACTGACGGTTGCACTGCATCTCAAAAACGATCTGGATAAAATACCAAATTAGGAGGCATGACCTCTAATTGAAAAAACCTTATATCACATTCTGCATGAAGGTAGTTGGACGGGTCAGAATTCACAAAGCGAGTCTTGGCAGCTATTTTGTGAAGCATGAATAAGCGTATCTGGGAGGAATTATCCTCATTATTACGGGACCTATGAGCGTGATCTGTGCATGGTCTTTATCTGCACTTCCACTATCTCACAAAAATAAGCATTTAATCACGACAAACATATTACAGTCACTTCCCTCTGCTGTCTGAGCATTTTTAATGGGGGCCGCAGGCAGACAGGGCAAATTCAACACGCCCCCACATACCTAGGTCACGATCTGGGAAGGTTTGCATAACGCCACCCAAATGTTCACGCAAAGAAAGAAGGAGTAACTTTTAGTCTCGCTGTAGTTTTGTTGACGCTGCCGCCATGTCCTGAAGACGCTGTGTGCTTCGTTGTGAAAGCGAAACTACTTTGATTGGTCTTCCAAAAGAGGACGATATCTGCTTCGTCATGCCTAGAGCTGATCCGTGCTGGTCGCTGAGGTAATACATCAACTTTCACTGTGGACGAAGCGGAGTCCAGCCCGCCTCAGCTCACTCTATCCCAGCCTCAGCACACGCTAAGCCGGGGCTTCCCCTCACGGTAGGCCACTGTGATTTTCGTTGCCACTGATGATTCAAACGCGAGTTTTGGGCAGTAGAGTAGCACTTGTTTGTTTGTCATTTCTCCGATCACAAATGCAGACAGAGTTTTATGTTTACGCGGCGCGATGCAATGCAACGCAACACGTAAAAAGACAGTATAAGTCATTATAATCAGTAATTGTGTCCCCACTGGATGCAACAAATGCCTCGTTTGTAATGGGTTTTAATGTTTATAATGTTTTTTTTACTTTAAACCGTATAAACACATTTCATTACACCAAATACACAAAATAATGTTCTTTTTAGCAGCATCATATGACCCCTTTAAGACAAAGCAAAAAAAGTTCTTAATAAAAAAAAAAAATTTTTTAATGAAGACTGAATGTGTATTTATGAGAAGATGTTTACCAATCCTTATCAAATGCCAGTGTTCTCAAAACAACAAACCCTCCACAAGTTAAGTGCTCCACATGTACAAACATCTGGCAAGGAAAAACAAGCCCCAAAGATTCTAATCAAACAATCCTGGAAGACTGCAGACAAACGAAATGACCATTTCTGATGGTATACATGTCAAAGTACAGTTTTGTAATACAATATTTTCTACAAGCATCGATTTTAAAATCCATTTAACAAATCGTCTGGCAATTTTTATTATGAAACCTATTTATATTATCTATTTTAACAGTCATATTGTGCATTTACTTTAATATAATATTTGTATTCCACCCTGCAGTCCATTTACAATGTGAGCAAAAACCACACTCTCTTTAACCTTTAGAATTTAACTATTTATTTGAACTATTTATGCCTTTAAGAAACATAACTTTACATGTGAAATGAGCAACAGTGCTTTACCTTTACCAAATTCATATAAAATGTATGACCAAAATCAGTATTTACTGTATTTTTCATAATGCATCAAGCTATTTCATCTTAAAAGATCAAGAAAAACTCAATTGCTTGTGATTTAAGCCTTTTAAAGTTTCCCAATGGTGATCATAAAAACCTGATTTTGACTCCATGAATGATGCCAGTGGAATAAATTTGGTATAGTATTAGGCAATGGAAAGTCTATATATTTAACTGCTGGCTCATCCAAAAAGCAGAAAACATCTGACGGCTTCACTGACGGTTGCACTGCATCTCAAAAACGATCTGGATAAAATACCAAATTAGGAGGCATGACCTCTAATTGAAAAAACCTTATATCACATTCTGCATGAAGGTAGTTGGACGGGTCAGAATTCACAAAGCGAGTCTTGGCAGCTATTTTGTGAAGCATGAATAAGCGTATCTGGGAGGAATTATCCTCATTATTACGGGACCTATGAGCGTGATCTGTGCATGGTCTTTATCTGCACTTCCACTATCTCACAAAAATAAGCATTTAATCACGACAAACATATTACAGTCACTTCCCTCTGCTGTCTGAGCATTTTTAATGGGGGCCGCAGGCAGACAGGGCAAATTCACACATCACTCTCCATGATCCCCCCCCCCCCCCCCTCCCCCCCCCCCCCCCCCCCCCCGAGCCACAATGACTAATATATATAGTGAAGATTTTTAATTAATTCTCAATAGGACACATGTTTTAGACCTCCTGACCAAGCAATGAGATAAGGTTCCTCTTGGATGTTCCTAGACCTTTTATCCAGGCCAGATCAGGCTCAGATAAAGTTTGTAAACAAAGTATCTCTTTAACACATATAATCTCACTGAGAAAATTACCTTGGTGTGTTCAATCTGAATTCCATAGAGCAGAATATTTCCCTGTATGACTTCAGAGGCCAGACTCCTGAAGGCTGTTAACTCGTCTGTCTTTTGGCTGTCGACGGACTGCTTTGCCATGTTCAGCTGTACCTGTCAACAAAATAATAAATACAATTAAAAAAACAAACATCTCCACTTATCTATAGCAGGGTTATCTATGCAGAGTTCATAAGTTTATGAAAAGCATAATGATGACAAAAGTAAAATTAAATAAATCTATAAAACGTAGCAAAAAGATTAAATATTTTATGTTTACTGGCATCTCATTTTACCAGTAACTGACGATAGAGAAATGTGAACATGCCAATGTGCTGTTTAATTATTAAAATATGAACTTAAGATCTAAACTTAAACAAATAAAAATTTACTAAAAAATTAACTTTTTTTACCTGCATCTCATGTATCCATTCACTGACAGAGAAATGTGAACGCGTTGTTAAATTATTGAAATAATAACTTATAAAAAACAGAAATAAATAATTTAAAAAAATAAATAAAATACTTAATAAAAAGATGAAATACAGTATTTTGTTTACCTGCAACTTAAAAACTAAACTTATTATATTAAAAAACACTGCCAAAATACTTATCCAATCATCAGCAGTGACTCCATCCATCCACATAAGAATTGATAATACCATAATAACCTGCACTTACTTCAATTAAACATTCCCTATTCTTAAAAAAACACTTAGAATATACTACATAGCTGTGGGACAGGCCTATTCATTTTTAAGTACTCTTTTTAACAAACACTCAGCGTTCTCTGTGTGTTTGGACAGGTTGAGCTCTTATGCAAAACGTTAAGAACTAGTTCTTAGCAAAATGTTTCCATTGCAACTGACCCAGCATTCACCGATCCATTAAATTAATGCAATTTCTTTTTCCGTTCGCTTACATCACCATTTCAGGAAGATGTGGCTTGTATGCATCCGTACCAAATAAAACCGGCTGTGCTCATTTTGCAAACTGCTTGAAGAAAAACATTTTTAACAGAGGTCATACATCAGTATAAATGGGGGAAATGCTGTTTACTCTGACTCTAATAGTTTTTTTCGTAGTTTCATAAAGTATCAAAGTACAAAAAAGGTAACTGAAAGGCCGACAGGAAATGTAAAAGAGTCTTAAATGGATCCAAATGTAATGTAAACGTAAAGAAAGTCAAGCAAACCTCTGAACAGCTCGGCTTGAGGTTTTTACTCGCAATCACACGCTCTCACAGCCACACAGTGTTATCATGACATCTGTGGTGGTGATAAGAGCAAAGCATCTGGGTAATCCAAACAATGAGTGAAAACATAATGATGGAGAGTAGAGGTTATCTAACAGCCCTTCGGAGGGAATGTTAAAGGAAGCACATATGGATTCTGGGAAGGCTGGATTCCCACACTAGGGTGTGGATCTCTGGATTCAAAACTGCAGGAGCAGATTTTATGCTTTCGAAACACATATAAGAAATGAATCAAGGTGAGAGTGATGACATTCCCAGAGATTAAGACTAAGATGTTTTGAGGTACAAATGCTGGACAAGAACCAGGAAACCAAACATCAATGGTTTTTCCAACTGCCAACACCGCAAACAAGCAAATGTACTTCAAAAAAAAAATTTTTTTTAAGTTGCTCATTGATTTTACTCATTAGAAATTTGCCCTCAAGTGTTTGGACTGGATAAGATCATATTTTAGTGTAATATTATTCCCAGCTACAGCTTCATTAAGAATTATGTTACTTTATTAAAACATTGGGTTATTTCCCAATTATTTTTTTTACAGTCAACATTTACAATCGACATTATGCCACAAATACTATCAGTAAGTTTTAGCACTTCTGTGATCTGATGCATATCATGTGTTTCTATGTCACATTGATGGAAACATAATGAGTTTAAGGTTAGACTCTCTCCTTTCACAATCAAATTTTCTCAAACATTTCTGTGTTCTCACACTGAATGCTATGTTTGGCACTATAGAAACAACATAAGGTTAAAGTAACTTCAAGGAACACATATATAAAATCTTTTAAACTAAACACTGAAAATATTACAATGTGTGGAAACTTACCCATACAATAACTACTGGGTATAAACGAGCGTGGTCAGTGTCCTCAAAATGTTTCACCATTTCCAGGACCCCCAAGAAGTTTGATCCAGTCATCTAAAAAAAAGACATTAATGTCACACCAAACTAATGAGGGGGCAAAAATTTCTAAATTATGGCTTTATATCCTACTGAGAACAAGTATTAAAAGATTTATCCAGACTAAATAGAACCTCTTATGGGGATTTATTAGAAATATTTTAACGTTACATTTTTACAACAAACAAAAATAATCAGCATATCAGAACGATTTCTGAAGGATCATGTGACACTGAAGATTGGAGTAATGGTTGCTGAAAATTCAGCTTTGCCATTACAGGAATAAAATTACATTTTAAAATATATTATAAAACCGCTGTTTTAAATTAGAACAAAATTTCACAATATTACTGTTTGTACTGTATTTTTGGTCAAATAAACATAGCCTTGGTGAGTATAAGAGACTTCTTTCAAAAGACCCCAAACTTTTGAACGGTAGTGTGAAAACCAAAATGAATCCAGATGAAATTTTGTTTTTGCAAAAAAGCCAATTGGCTATTAGTTAACACTATCCAATAGACTAGACTGACTCATTAATGTCAGCAAAAAGTAAAGGTGTTTCAGAGTGAGATCAAGTTATTATATTTTGATTAAATATTACAAAGACAACTTGTTTTTTCTTTTAAATAAAATGACAGGTGAGTCATTCACAATAAGACCAGGAACATGCATTAAAAAGTCAAATCTGATTTATGCTGGCTTCAACATGGAATTACTTGTGTATGCATGTATCGTTGACATACAGATAAGTGAATGAAGTTTCGCGTTTTGGACAGGTACTCTGCATTACTCTCCTTTGCACATGGAATGACGTCTGTCTCCATCTGAGAAAAGAGCCCAAATTCAATAAAACAAGCAATCTCACCATCACGGCAGACAAATTGTATTTATTAAGATCTAATGATTCATCCCTTTTCATAAAAAGCAACACAACCACAGATGCTTTGCATATGAAATCATATTATAGCCCTCATATCAAATCATATCCTGTCCCTGGCCTTGTCGAATATCTTGTACAGAGATGAAATAAACAGAAGTGTTTGGCACGGACTCGACCTTGACGAGAAAACTGGAAATATGAAATGGTTATTGGAAACACATGCAAGGACTTATTCACTCTTGAAAGATAACCAACCACGGCTTTAGACGAAAACCAGCTCGCTCCGAGCTGCGGATTTACAAGATCATTTTGACATCTGAACCAGGTTGGGCTGTTGAGCCTACATGAGATGCAGTTTACAGGATTTTTGAATGGTGGCGAAGCAAGAATAAGTGCTTCAAAATGACCAAAACCAAAAAACAAGCCACACACTTGGTCCTGATTAGATGTTACGGGTCACGCAAAAATTCTAGTAATGCTTTAATTTCCAAAGATTTACAAACAAACTATCTTTCTGATCATTCTTAGGGATTTGTAAACTATTAACAAATAGAAACGTGTTTTTACTGGGCAAGGAGTTCAATTGTAACCGCAGTTATGTGTTGGGAATCATGTCGGCTCATGTTGTGGCTTAATCCGAGGTTGACATAGGAATACATTACAGTCAAGAGTTATGCAGTATCACTGAAATGCCAGGATTACATGTAGTCAATGGAATTTTATAGTCTCCGATGGAACTAAAGTGGGGGTTTTTTCGTGTGAGATTTACTTATGTAGCTTAAAATGATATATACACTACCTACATGCTCTCGGTACTAAATTATCTTGAAATCCCAGAGCTGAGGAATGTGAATATCACTCTCAGTCATACACGAAATGCCACGTTTTGAGATCCGCACCTTATGGCGCATGGGTTTGGACTCTAATCCTCCATTTCCAAGCAAAAAGTGTTTGCCCCTAGTGAACTTGAGCCTTTGATGAAAGTAGACGGCAACCCATTCCAAATCTTATCTGCAGCATACATGGGTGTAATTATTACATCTCGCTAAAAGGATCATCTTATCACTCTCTGTTGTCCTTTATAATCAAAAAACGTACCCAGAGCCAATCGTACCACCTGCATGCCTGGAATGGTCCCAACTTTGAGTTTCCATTCACTGTAATGGAGACACTGTAATGGGGATTAGATTTACAAATGGCACTGGGACAAATTTGATTCCTCATCTGTAATCTCCTCCTTTTCTTTCATCTCCCTCGAGTTGCAGGAACAGCTCGGGAGAACTGACCCCAGCCGGCACCTGGGGGAGCGGCAACGTCTGGAACCAATCAGCCGTACGGTACGCTGGGTGCTCTCATGTTTGCAACATTATCAAGAGAAGGACATGTGCTTGATGAAGAACTTGGAACAGCTACAAAGGAGGATGGGCTTCCATTGCATGGAGTCTGAATAAAACACGTCATATTTCCTTTTTGTCAGTGCACTGGAAGATGGATCTCCTACAGCAAGAGCTACAACGTGAAGACATGATTCGAGCTGGATCGGCTCCAAAAATCAGTGTGGAATAAATGGGAAGGTGGTCACACTTGTACAAGACACCTTATCCATTTCAGCAAGTACATCCATTGGTACGGCTAAGTTATCGTTCTCACCATCTGTTAGTCCTCATACAGTTGCAGGACAGGTGAAAGCTTGGTTGTTGGAGGGGGTGAGTAAGACATTGGAGTAAAGGGAGTTGAGATGGAGACAGACAGCAACATATTCCTAAGCAAAGGCTATTTTAACTAAACTGTAAGATGAGTGATGTCATCTTTAACATACCATGTTCAGATTTTTCTGAAGCGTTTTAGCCAACTCAGTGGCTTCTGCTTCAGCTCCTGCTATGATACATGCTGACATCGAAAGGGTCTCTGAAGAGAAAATGACAATATTTAACCTTAGTTATTAGTACATTTAACCTAAATCACTGCAATTTAACCCTGTTTGTAAACCAGTTTTGGAGAAGCAACTCTTAAGAGTGTGTAAAATAAAAAATAAAAAAATAAAATAAAAATCCTGTGTGATCTTTCATGTGTAAATTCCTCAAGGAACAAGGTAAATGAGTGCATGGAAGCTTTACTAAAATCATGCGCACATAGAGCTGAACCACCACACATTTATGGCAAAATGGAAGGTTTTGACCAATTCTTCGATTTCTTTCCAAACCAAAGAACTGGCCCTTTGCTGGGTCAACTCATACCTTACAGGTCATAAGAAGTCAGGGACACGGGAAGTAGGGGTGCTGAGGGGGCTGCAGCACCCCGTTTTCACATGGTTGCAAATGCAACGCCAGGTTTGTTCATTTAAATTTATTCAGTTTTAGCATTTAATAATTTATTTGTAATGATCTCTGAAATGTACATTGTACGTGGGCTATAATAAACCCAGGTTTATCTTTATAAACATGAATAATTTTACTTGTGATGTTTTCTATATGGGATGATTCGCCTAATCCTCATGAACACGTGACGCTAGCGCCCCCCGCCCCAACACGGACACACACAGCACCCCCAACCGAAAGCATCTTCCCGCACCCCTGTAAGAAGTCGTTTTTATAATTTCTCTTAAAATGATTGTTTGTATATAAAAAGACAACATGTAGACATTTTGAAATGGCAGTTAGCTTTTGTGGTTCACAATCTCTCTTTGTATATTTACATACACGTTACTAACAGTTTGCTTTTGCCCAATGATCTGACTGTGGAAAACTGTCTATTTTGACTTGCCCAGATAAAATGTATAATCAAACAACATCAAGTCTGCAATAACAACAATACTGCAATACTGTATTCCCAGCAATGACTCAAATCAGTGGCCTGCGAAATATTTATTTCTTTACTCCACAACTTAAACACAATACCTTTAATAATAGCCTCCGCAGCTGCTAGATCCCGCTTGTATGTTACCTACAAAAGGAAAACAAGGGCTATAAAACATCACATTAAAGGACAGTGCAAAAATGACAGCTTGTGCTTAAAGGAAATGTGACTGAATATTAGTTTTAGTGGTTGTACACACTGTTAGGAGTGATTTACTGTTTGTTGCAATATTCATACAGTGGGGCCCAAAAGTCTGAAACCACTAGTAAATATACTTCTGTTGTACATTTTCCTGATTTAATACAAACCTTTCCATTACAGCAGATTATCAGTATTACAAGAAATTACATTTAACAGTATTACAAAAAAAAAAAACTGACATGAATTTCTAAAATTTTGCTTATTTTTTTAATTTAAGACACAAACATTTATGTGAATATATCTGAAACAATATCTGAAAGCTGTTTTTTCTTGGACAAAAACACTAATATATTGTAGAGAAAAAGGTGCATTTCCAAATTTATCTGGATTAATGTGGACTTAGACTTTGTCACCTAGAAATTCTAGATCTAGACATCTAGAATCTCATTTCAAATCTCAAATGTTTTTCCAGGTTTAAAAAATATTAACTGAAATGTTTTCAATGTGCTCTCAGACCGCTGGACCCACTATGTATGGCACAAATCCTATATGCATGACAACAATAAGTCAAACCTTTTGTTCCTTACTTTCCACAAAGTCGGTGGTCCTTCTATGAGCTTTGCATTCACGCCACAGTACTGCAGGGCCAAGTGTAGGCACTCGGAGCCAAACTCAAAGTCAAGTTCACTGCACTGCAAAGGAGAAATCAGGACAAAAACCAGAACAAAATGAAACAAGAAGCTCCAGTTTGATAAATGCTGATGAAGTAAATCAGAACCATACAAACCTCTAGTCAAACACCTGTGTAGGAACTAACTTTTGAGGTCATGAAGGACTGTTTCTTATTGAAACAAGCATCTGGGCATGGGATTTTTGTAAAAAAACGTCTCTGATTCTGGTAACACATTGAAAAAGCTGAATAGAGCTCTTGCAGTTAATCGCTCTCTAAGACAGCGGTTGGATTACACAACCTAAATCATGCCACCCGAGATGCTACGAGGGCAGTATCTAAAGCAATGGAGAGGAGAGGGAGAGTGGAGAGGAGAGCTTCGCTTACATGGCGCTGTGATTTCAAGGCAAATTAAAGGAGAAAGTCCTGCAATCATTTAACCTTTGGCATACCCCCCCCCCCCCCCCCCCCCCCCCCCCCCCCCCCCTTCATCAACGCACAGCCAGACCCTCACGGGGTTGGATGTCTCTTCTTTTGTAAAGCTCAAGCTCTCTGAGACTCAATGGGATGGCATGCTGAAATGGCATCAGTCATTTCGAGGCTACCACAGAGAGGGTTTTGACACATGGCCGTCGGCTACATCTAAAAACCCTTGCTCAAAACACCCACCTGAAATAATCCCCATTGTAAAAAGCGTCAAATGTGCTGAATGCTACATAAAAAAAGAAGTATGGACTGCCTTATGTCACGTGATGGTAGAGTCTCATAGAAAATTGGGTTCAAAAAGCAAGGAGAAGCATATAAATCTTTTTGCAGACCCTTCACTGTTGGGGTTGGAGAAGAAAAGCCCCAGAAGAGCCGCAGTGTCAGGTAACACTCATGCAGGCTTGATATTACCCATTCTTCAGATTGCCTCATCCTCTGTATCATGTCATGGTTTTATCTTTATTTAGAATTAATTGAGGACAGACAGCTGTGACTTGACACAGAACTCACGCTAATGTTCGATATCGCAGCCAAAAGCAACAAGACTGTGAAATCAAAGATTTCCAGAAGCAAAAAATTCGGCACCCAAAAAATGCTCCTCTCAGCAGCCCTATAAATCTCAATGCTTCTTTTTAACACTTCTATCTGTTACTGTTATCGAAAGTTTGACTAAAGGCTTAATCAGATCCAAAGATCACATTCCTACAGCAATAAATGACGTAAAAAAAAGGATGAAATACACTCCACTCCACCTCATTTAGAAACTTTGTTAGTCTGAATGAGAAAGCAGCATTTCTGTCAAAGCATTGTTTGAGTTGATCTTGAGAAGAAATACTGGAATCAAACTGCGATCTTGCAGTCAGCTATGTAACCTAGGCCAGATTAAACAATTACGATTTATTATTTTGACACACAACTAACTACCATGGGAATAATAATAAAAGTCACAGTGCCTTAGAGCTGAAGAACCTGTGGGTTTATGCAAATCTCAGGGACAATGAACAAAAGAGGCAAGTTGGTCCAAGATTTGAACACTGAGAATTTCTTTGTTTGATTTTATAAAAATGTATACAACAGAAATTGAGATAGAAGAAACCCATAGAAAATGAGTTTAAAAAGCAAATGTACAAATATAATATAAACAACAAAATAAATACATAAAAATATTTATATAAATATATATTTTAAAATATATATTTTACAAAAATGTATTTTAAATATATAGATGGAATAAAGATACAAATATTTAGATCGAATAATTGGTTACAAGGGCAATGTCGGTGCATAAATCTAATAATAATAAATAACTTACATAAATATTATATAAATACTTCTATATATACACATCAGGGCTGTCAAAATAACTGAAAAACTAAATACGAATTTTTTTCAAAATTCTAATTACATTCTAATTTAAAATGCATAATTTCAGTTAGGGTGAAGAAAAGCTTTTGGCTTCTCTCCTGAATATTTCTCTCCAAAATATTACTAATGCACGCGTATTCAAAGTGCATAATGTTTAAAATAATGTTTATAAACCAATTATAATTAAGTTGCTTAACTATAAACAAAACAGCATCATGTATATATGCATAGTTTAATACAAAGGACCGAAATCACACAGAGTACATTTTTCATTTAAAAACACGAGCTGCAGTGGGATGGGGAAAAAACCCGCCATAAAGTCTGGAGGTATGTTTTTTTCAAAGTTGAACTTGCATTCATTTTACATGGCTTTCTAAACATGTGGCTCCTTTGTGCGAGATGGGAGTGCAAAGGTAATAGACGTCCCTCTAGAAAATGCGCAAAATATGCGTTCTTTGTGAACGGCTTGGTTTCGGTTTTGACGTAAACAAGATCTCCGCATTGATGTTCTCTTTTCCCGCAATATTTGTAATTAACAACGCAGCAGCGCCATATCTAGTGGCTTCAACTGGATAGGTTAATAAAACATTAAAATGCAATGACACTTCTATCGTCATCGCATCTCGTGCGCCACTGATAAGGCTGCCTCATTAACACACACCTAAAATTCGAATGCAACGTTTTTGCATTCGAATGTGGATTTTTATTTTAAATTCGACAAATATTCAAATTTTTTTTGACAGCTGTAATACATATATATTTTATTTTTTTATGTATTTAAAAACATAAATATTGAGATGCCTAAACTTATCATAAAAGTCACTGTGGGAATGTCAAGGTGACAGTCAACTCTAATGTACTTTGCACATTGAATCTGAGGTTTATTCTAACCAATAAATGTGTTTGGGTTGCTCATACCCGCTGGTAGGCCTGGAAAATAACGTCATAAAGAAATCCTTGAGGCATTTCACTGGCTCGGTACTTTGCTCTCTCCAGCGAGTGGTCTAGGTAGCCCTCTGACGTGGTTGCAATGACCGTGGACACCAGAGGACGTATCGCTCCTGAGGCCTGAAAAAAAACAGGTAGACAATAGAACAATTAAAAACACGCCTTATAAAAATCTGTTTATTCATCATTATTAAATAATGGTGCATTAGGGTCAAGCAATGAATCACTCCATCTCATATTCTTTTGAGTGTTTCATAAACATATGGGTTTTGCTTTCCAGCCCTTGTCAGTGCCTTGGAGAGATTTAGAAGAAAATCAGAAATCTTGAACCTCACATATCAAAGCCAGCAAAAACATTGCTAAAACATCTTATCCGGTTTCATGCTTTAAGGAGTAGTGCTGAGAGGTGTCAACAATATGTTTATCTTAGTGATTTATGGACATTGGAACAGCCCACAATGCAGTCAAACCACAAACGAAGCTGGATTTCTCATCTTCTGCGGAGTTATTCTGTTCCTGATGCAGATTTCATGACGTTTGCCTTGGAAGGATAGTATATATGTAACAGTGTATACAGTACACTCTTAAAAATAAAGGTGCTTCACGATGCCATAGAAGAACCTTTTTTGTCTAAATGGTTCCATAAAGAACCTTTAACATCTGAAGAACCTTTCTGTTTCACAAAAGGTTCTTTGTGGCGAAAGAAGGTTCTTCAGATTATAAAAAGGTAAGAAAGAGATGGTTCTTTAAAGAACCTTTGACTGAATGGTTCTTTCTGGAACCAAAAATGGTTCTTCTATGGCATCGCTTGAAGAACCTTTTGAAGCACCTTTATTTTTAAGAGTGTAGGTATAGAAAATAATTTATATTCGAGGCTTAGTGTATCCCATCATGCATCATGTTCTGGAAATAAATCGTGAGACTTTTTGCCGTGATCTCGCGAGAGGTCACAGAAACCTTTCCAATGCATGTTAAATATTAATAATAGTTAGATATTACACATAATTTGGTAGTAAAACAAAGAGTTGCATGTTTTATTGGTGCAAATGAGTAGCAGTGATAATTATTTTGTACAACATTTGCAACGGGTTTTCATCACTTAATTAGAAGCATCACAAAATTTAATTGTGTCATGTGTTATAGAGACTACTGAACGGACATTTAGAAGTTGATTTTAAAATGCAAAGTATTGAAAATAAAAATAAAGCTCTGTAAACACTTGCATTTTTACAACACTGTGTGTCCCATCAGGTAATGAAAAGTTCTACACACACACACTTGTGGACTTCATGCTCACTTGAACACTTGGACCAAATACAGGAAATACGTCATATAAGTAGTCAAGTGGTCAAGTGCAAAGACCGCAAGTGCGGGTATTTGGACAAGGGGACCATCAATGCCTAGAAGCATAGTGAAGTCTATTATTAAGAAGTGGAAGGTATTTGGTACAACACAGACCCTCCCTGACGTCACTCCAAACTGGATGAAAGAGCCAGGAGGGAACTGGTCAGAGAGGCGACCAAGAGGCCTACAGCAACTCTGAAGCAGCTGCAAGAATGTATGACAAAGAGTGGTCATTGTGTGCATGTGACAACAATATCACAAATTCTCCACAAATGTGGCTTGTATGGGAGGGTTGCAAGAAAAAAGCCACTCTTCAAGAAAGGCCACATGCAGTCATGACTGAGCTTTGCCAAAACGCACCTTGAAAATTCTGAGACTAAAATTGAATTATTTGGCCTCAACACCAAACGAGCATTCCTACAGTAAAGCGTGGAGGTGGTGATATCCTGTTATGGGGTGTTTCTCTGCAGCAGGGACTGGAGCACTTGTCAGGATAGAAGGAAAAATGGATAGGGCAAAATACCGTCAAAATCTTGAGGAAAATCTGCAAAGGTGAATATGGCCTAGTCAGAGCCCAGACTTAAACCCCATTGAAAATCTGTGGAATGACTTGAAGACTGCAGTCCACCAGTCCACAAAACTAAACTTGAGCAGTTCTGCAAAGAAGAGTGGGCAAATATTGTAAAGTCTAGATGTACAAAGTTAGTAGAGACATATCCCAACAGACTAAAGGCTGTAATTAAAGCAAACGGTGGTTCAACAAAATACTGACATAAGGTGATCCTTTTTCCAACTCAGTGATTCTGTTTTTTTTTGTTGTTGTTTTTTTTCTGACATGTTGGTGTTATATCTTTCACTTGGATGTTATAAGTTGCACTGAATAAATACAGCTGGATAAAACAAAAACTGTGTTTGTCTTCATTTCATGCTGCGAATCAACAAAATGTGATTATTTTAAAGGGGGTGATTCTTTTCTATAGCCACTGTACATTAAACTCACCATGTGTGACATGGCCTACATAGTTAAAGTTAACATGTTTATAAAAATAGCTACCTGAATAATAATATCTGGCTTAATGGCACACTTTATTACCTACGTGAATCTTTTGAACTCTGAGGTTTGCTACCAACAGCGAAACACAAATAGAATACATTCAATATGGTTGTTATTTTGCAATGCGAATGTTTAAACATTCGCCTTTGCATTCGCATACATACTGTCAAGTGTTTCTGACCCAACAGTTAATAAGGTGAACCGATTGTACAACAGTTGCCAAAATAGCTGCATCTGGTTTCCGTGTGAAAATGTTCTTTAATAAACTGTTAATGGACCACAAGAGAAATTTAGAGAGTTCATGAAAGTTCACTGTGATATGATTAACATAGACCAAAACGTTCAAACGCCAACATCACCTTTTTTTATCATTCTTGTCACATGGTTTTGATCATGGCTGACTATTATTTTGTCATGAGTTGATTGCAGCTGTTAAGTTTACAGTTAGTCTGTTAACACTGTGTAGACTTGATCACTGGAAATTATGCTGATAATACAGAATGAAAGCCAGTCAACACATTTGTAGGAGCTGTTTGTGAAATAGCCACAAGTCCTGTAATAAATGTGCCGTTAACCAAGATTAAGAATTTTTCTTAAATCACATTTTTTCCATACCAGAATATTTTTCTACCAAAACGGTGGTGTAAATGCATCAATATTCAGCGTTGTTATATTTCTAGCTAGACTGAAAGTAAAAGAAAGCAAGGGCAATAATGAGCAGGACCAGAAAGAGAGTAAGGGGACCATCAATGCCTAGAAGCATAGTGAAGTCTATTATTAAGAAGTGGAAGGTATTTGGTACAACACAGACCCTCCCTGACGTCACTCCAAACTGGATGAAAGAGCCAGGAGGGAACTGGTCAGAGAGGCGACCAAGAGGCCTACAGCAACTCTGAAGCAGCTGCAAGAATGTATGACAAAGAGTGGTCATTGTGTGCATGTGACAACAATATCACAAATTCTCCACAAATGTGGCTTGTATGGGAGGGTTGCAAGAAAAAAGCCACTCTTCAAGAAAGGCCACATGCAGTCATGACTGAGCTTTGCCAAAACGCACCTTGAAAATTCTGAGACTAAAATTTAATTATTTGGCCTCAACACCAAACGAGCATTCCTACAGTAAAGCGTGGAGGTGGTGATATCCTGTTATGGGGTGTTTCTCTGCAGCAGGGACTGGAGCACTTGTCAGGATAGAAGGAAAAATGGATAGGGCAAAATACCGTCAAAATCTTGAGGAAAATCTGCTGCCCTCTGCCAGAAAGTTGTCAATGGAGGTTTACCTTCCAACATGACAATGACCCAAAGCACACAAGAAAAAGGTGAATGTCCTTGCATGGCCTAGTCAGAGCCCAGACTTAAACCCCATTGAAAATCTGTGGAATGACTTGAAGACTGCAGTCCACAAACGGTCACCATTAAATTTAACTGAACTTGAGCAGTTCTACAAAGAAGAGTGGGCAAATATTGCAAAGTCTAGATGTGCAAAGTTAGTAGAGACAAATCCCCAAATCCCAAAGGCTGTAATTAAAGCAAAAGGTGACTCAACAAAATACTGACACAAGGGGGTGATCCTTTTTCCAACTCACCAACTCAGTTTTTATTTTTCCTGACACGAGTAAATACAGTTGGATAAAACAAAAACTGTGTCCGTCTTCATTTCAGCCTGCAAAGCAACAAAATTGTATTATTTTAAAGGGTAAACAATATATTATTTTGTTCTTTTCTATACCCACTGTAGATATTAAAACAGCTTCTCTGATTGGAGTTTTTCATATTTATTATATAACAGCTTCACACGTATCTCTGAAGCCTGCATCAGGAATTCTGTTTTGACGGCTTAAAGTGGTCTAACTTTCCCTCACCTCATAAATTTGACGGATATGTAGGCCATGTTACAGCAGATTAGGGAAGGGAGTGTTCAGATAGTTTGGACATTCATCACCACAGACATTTCAGGGAGTGTTTTAAAATGAATTATTCCAAATGACAGCCACAAAAAAGTGTATATTTGAATTAAATGTATAATTTACGCCAATTGTATTGTAGTATATATGATAACAGCCAATATCAGCACTCATGAGCAGAGATAAACATATGGGTTAACATTTTTTTTCTCCAAACTGTTATTAAATTCCATAACATGCACTATTTGAACTAAATCTGGATAAACAAAATCTGGATTAAAAAAAAAGAGAAAACGAACCCCTTGCTCTTTAGCTGCTAGGGTGATTTTCAGCAGAAGATCTTCTTCCACAAACGGCCGTACCGCATCATGGATGACGACCACTTTTGGTTTGGGTGTCAGTGAGTTTGAAGTGTTGCAGAAGGCCTGAAGTCCGTTGAAGATAGACCTATGTCTGGTGGTTCCCCCGTGGACTACATTTACCTTTGTGTGATCAAATTTCTGGACAATATTCAGCATCAAGTCATGATTCTCCTTAGCAACCACAACGACAACAGTTCCAATCCAGGATAACCTGTCGAGAAAATGCAGACAAACAGCTTTCATTTATCAAGTTTTAAATACTATCAAAAGAAACAACATAATCGCTGTGACAATAGAGTAAGGGAACAAATTGTATGTTATACTGCTTTAAGCAGTTATTTTAGTATTACTTACATATTAATATAGTTTTTGTTCATATTTTAAATCAACATAATTAAAATTTTTAGTAATTTCGTTATGTGCTTTTTTTTCTAGTTTTTTGTTTTTTCTAAATACTTCCATTTAGGTAGGGGTGGGTGGTATGACCAAAATCTAATATCACGATATGAGTGATTTTATTTCACGGTAATGATATATATCACGATACAGTTATTTCTGCTTTAAATAAGGTCTAAATTAAGGTCTAATTTTTGATGCCATAGAAATGTCAAATTCATGTCACCAATGTCAAACTACAATAGAACAAATAAATAAGAAATGCTACATATATTGTATAAAGTAATCAAATATACATATAAAACTGCATATTCCTCAACACCAAACGAGCATTCCTACAGTAAAGCGTGGAGGTGGTGATATCCTGTTATGGGGTGTTTCTCTGCAGCAGGGACTGGAGCACTTGTCAGGATAGAAGGAAAAATGGATGGGGCAAAATACCGTCAAAATCTTGAGGAAAATCTGCTGCCCTCTGCCAGAAAGTTGTCAATGGAGGTTTACCTTCCAACATGACAATGACCCAAAGCACACAAGAAAAAGGTGAATGTCCTTGCATGGCCTAGTCAGAGCCCAGACTTAAACCCCATTGAAAATCTGTGGAATGACTTGAAGACTGCAGTCCACAAACGGTCACCATTAAATTTAACTGAACTTGAGCAGTTCTACAAAGAAGAGTGGGCAAATATTGCAAAGTCTAGATGTGCAAAGTTAGTAGAGACAAATCCCAACAGACTAAAGGCTGTAATTAAAGCAAAAGGTGACTCAACAAAATACTGACACAAGGGGGTGATCCTTTTTCCAACTCAGTGATTGTCTTTTTATTTTTCCTGACACGAGTAAATACAGTTGGATAAAACAAAAACTGTGTCCGTCTTCATTTCAGCCTGCAAAGCAACAAAATTGTATTATTTTAAAGGGTAAACAATATATTATTTTGTTCTTTTCTATACCCACTGTAGATATTAAAACAGCTTCTCTGATTGGAGTTTTTCATATTTATTATATAACAGCTTCACACGTATCTCTGAAGCCTGCATCAGGAATTCTGTTTTGACGGCTTAAAGTGGTCTAACTTTCCCTCACCTCATAAATTTGACGGATATGTAGGCCATGTTACAGCAGATTAGGGAAGGGAGTGTTCAGATAGTTTGGACATTCATCACCACAGACATTTCAGGGAGTGTTTTAAAATGAATTATTCCAAATGACAGCCACAAAAAAGTGTATATTTGAATTAAATGTATAATTTACGCCAATTGTATTGTAGTATATATGATAACAGCCAATATCAGCACTCATGAGCAGAGATAAACATATGGGTTAACATTTTTTTTCTCCAAACTGTTATTAAATTCCATAACATGCACTATTTGAACTAAATCTGGATAAACAAAATCTGGATTAAAAAAAAAGAGAAAACGAACCCCTTGCTCTTTAGCTGCTAGGGTGATTTTCAGCAGAAGATCTTCTTCCACAAACGGCCGTACCGCATCATGGATGACGACCACTTTTGGTTTGGGTGTCAGTGAGTTTGAAGTGTTGCAGAAGGCCTGAAGTCCGTTGAAGATAGACCTATGTCTGGTGGTTCCCCCGTGGACTACATTTACCTTTGTGTGATCAAATTTCTGGACAATATTCAGCATCAAGTCATGATTCTCCTTAGCAACCACAACGACAACAGTTCCAATCCATGGTAATCTGTCGAGAAAATACAGATAAACAGCTTTCATTTGTCTAGTTTTAAAAACTATCAAAAGAAACACAACATAATCGCTGTGATAATAGAGTGAGCGAACAAATTGTATGTTATGCTGTTGTAATTTGTATTATTTTAGTTTTTATTGATATTTTGAATTAGCTTTTAGTTTTATATTTCCATTTAATTTTTTCCCTTTTGTTATTTTTATTGGCTTTTGTTTTTTCAAATACTACTATTTAGGTTTCATTTATTTTTATTTCAGTTTTTGTTTTAGTTTTTATTTGATTTCCAATTACTAATGTCAGTAAGATGCCAAGACAATATTTCTAATTTTCATTTAAAGTTTTTCCTCAAATATTTATCTTTGATTTCAGCTTTAGTTTTAGTTAACGTTAATAACCCCCTTGTGGCATCAAATGAAATTATAAAAATAATTAGATTTACAATGCTAAGATGTTGGTGGTGGTTGCCAGTGTGTTGTTAAGTGGTTTCTGAGGTGTTTGAGCACATTTTTATACATTTACTTGGGAGTTCTGGGTGGTATCTCTATGATATTTACATTGTTAACCAACAGGTGGCCCAAGAGGCCATATGACTGACAGGTAAATCAACCAATCACATTTCGTTTTGTGACACATCATGTTTAGTAGAGGTGCACCGATTGACCGGCCAGTGATCAGAATCGGCTGATTTTTCACATCTCACGTCTCTCACGTCTTGCCGATTCCGAGCCGATCCTTTTATTGGCAGCGGTGCTGGTAATGACCTCACAGCCGCGTGTAAACATGTCGTTTCCCGTGAGAATGATTCTAAATTGCATTCAGTGTAAACGATGACTGATCATGTAGCCTATTTATGTCGTGCCAGATGAGGCTTGCACAGCCTGAGTGAGTGTGTGAGATAAACAGCACACACAAAGTACCTCACAGAAATGTATAGATGCATACTGCAGTAGGAAAAAAATATATTTACAAAATATGATTTAGGTAAGCAACATTATAGCCTACGGCCATGATTACAACACGATTACAATGTGACACTGATTTTACACAACAGTATTTCAATAAACAATAAATTTAAATTACTTGACTTAGATTTTAGACAAAATATTGACTGTTTTTGCTCAATTTCGCTGACGAAAATAGTTCCGATCAAAGCCACAGCAGAACTGTTGTGTGTCTCTGAGCAAAACACAGCGGTGTTTGTTACTGAATGAATCCACGTTTTTGAACAAATCAAGTGAGTCAATGATTCAGTGGCCCATTCATAACTAAGGACAGTTACTTGCCTAGTTTCTGAATGAATTAGCCGTTTGAATGAATCGGTTGAATGAATGATTAAATTAATCATTAAAACAGACATTTGCCGCCTCTGCAAGAGAATTAGCTTCTGAGCCTGGATGGTTTAGTCATATTTAAAAGTGTCCCCGCATTTTTTCAACATTTATTTGTATGTTTAAAAAATATGTAAAACATTAGTCTTAAAAAATTATGTATTTGAAATTTTGCAGTGTAAATGCATTTATGGCACCTCAGCTTCATCAAACTGTCTGTGGTAAATGCATCTAATGCCACTTCAGATGCAGCTTCTGTTTCCTCGGCAGTGGAAAGATAAGAGATTGTTAATACTAATTTCATTTGAAAGGTAACAACACAACAGGTTCTTATTATTCTAACTGAATTAATTGAAACAAAGTAAGAATTTGATGTGAAAGATGACACATTTAATAAGGTTAGGGGGGAAAATGACCATTTATAAACATAGTGGAAAATGACATCTGTTTTGTTACATAGTTAACTATTTCTTCCTCTTTCCAATCACAGAGCACTTTATTTTGAGAGTTGTTTAAGTGAGAGAAAATCTGTAACTTAGTCCAGATTGGGGCAGTTGTGTTTAATAATTTATTTTGTTATGTAAATAACTTTTGCATTGAAATTTGCATAGATTTTTGTTTGCATATGCTGTCAATTATAGTTCTTAGAAAGAAAAATCGGAATCAGCCAAAATCGGTATCGGCAGGTCACACTTCCAAAAAATCGGAATTGGCCAAGAAAATTGCAATCGGTGCATCTCTAATGTTTAGGGGTGTGGAAATGTCCCCACAATAACAGACCGGTGTGTAAAACGCTTGGACGCATTTTAAAGAGTCTATGTCGTAGTGCTGAGCGGTATGACCAAAAATTTATATCACGGTATATTTCAAAATTATACCGGTTTCACGGTACATGATGGTATTTTTCTTTCCATGCATGACCAGGTGTTGTTAACCATACTTTCTACTGATTGAGAGAGGAAATACTGCAGTATATTGACTTAGAATGCCCTATTTTACTGTCATGATGAGTGAATATTGTCAAAAAATACCACACTAAATAGTGACTAAACACGACCCCTTTTAATACATGTTAACCAGGAGTCACTCTCATTTATAATCGCGGCATCGTCTGATAAAATCAACATGCATCTACACTAAAGAGCGGCTATGCGGTTGTTTTGGCTATATTACTTTTTTGTCTCATGCAGCACACTGCCTGCGTCTGAGTAACATAAAAAAACAAAAAAAAGTGCATGTGATATTAACAGACGAACTACGCTCATATAGGTTTATACAAAAAAGTCGCTAGGTTTGTCAGTATGGAAAACTATGGGAAAAAAGCCACTAAAAGGGTCTGAAAGTTGCTCAATCTACTGCTAAAGTCGCACTCGTGTGTGTGAGACGCGGGAGCTGATGGCAGGGGGAGGTGGATATTTGTGGCGGTCAATGTGGATATTGTGGATGAGTTGTGTCATCACGTTCTATTAGTTCTACAGCTTCAGTTTCGGAACTTTCACGCTTAGTAACACATACAGCTGTGCCCTCACCACAGTGCAACAGTGAAAAGGGACCCCTTTCAAATAGTGTCGCGTTCCGAACATTGTTTAAGTGACATATTGCGGTATTTAAAAAATTCATATCATAACAAAAATAAACAACGGTATTCGGTATGAACCGGTATACCGCCCAGCACAACTATGTCGTGAACTTCACATATTTCACTTTTGAAAATCCAGAATTTAGTTAATCCTGATAAGCGCTCATTGTCACAGTTGTAAACATGACAGCTTTCTTCTTCCATGAGGGTGTTTGGCATCATAGCATCTTTGTTTCCAGGTGGAACATTAAAGAACGCGACACGCACGTCTCCCGGAAATCCTGTAGAATTCAACCAATCTGATGATGACTTCGAAACTCCTGAAGTGTTTCGTTGCAGCTTTCCCGCTGGTACTCAGAGAGCGTGAGCCTCTCGTCCACTTATCAAGAGATTGCAGCAGCTGCGATCTCATCTCATTGTGTAGCATAATTTAATGTTTGTTAAAATGATATTCCGAATCAAAATACACGCACACCAACATCAACTGTATCTTTTTACTGGACAATGACCAATGTTTATGATTTATTTTCTACTAAATCATGGCAAGCCGTTTTAACATGTAGCCTATTTAACTTTCTTTAACTAGGCTCTATTTTAACATTACTAGTTGTCACTAGCATTTTTAAATACTATACTAAGATTAAAATGAATTATGAGTAACACAATTGTTAATAGTAACATTTTAGTTACTTTTTGTTATGAGTCAGAATGACCTTATAGTTCACTTAAAAAGGTGTTAGGCTACTACTAACAATTCTTCTAGTGTTTATTCAATTAATACTAGAAAAACAAACTATTTGAAGTTACAGTAAACCAAAGAATAAATAGTAGTATGCAATGAATAGTTAAACTTGCCACTGTATTAAAATCAAAATTATAAGCAGGAGTAACAAAAATACTTTTAACTAAAATGAGTTTCAAATTCACTCATATGTGGTTACTAATACAAAATAGATTTTAACTAGTTAAATGTTGATGGCTTATCATAGAGTCTGATTCTGTGATGACAGCTGATGATTGACTATGTAAATTATTAAATATTGCCTGTTAAAAAAAATGTAATCATCTTAGATAATCATTTTCACTGTTTTTACAATGAATTTTGTCACCTGTTCTTTAGTTTATTTGTGACCCTGGACCACAAAATCAGTCATAAGGGTCAATTTTTTAAAATTGGGATTTATATGTCATCTAAAAGCTGAATGAATAAGCTTTCCATTGATGTATGGTATGTTATGATAGGACAATATTTGCCCAAGATACAACTTTGAAATTGAATATATGGAATCTGAGGGTGCAAAAAAAATCAAAATACTGAGAAAATCGCCTTTAAAGTTGTCCAAATGAAGTTCTTAGCAATGTATATCACTAATCAAAAATTAAGTTTTTATATATTTACGGTAGGAAATGCACAAAATATCTTCATGGAACATGATCTTTACTTAATATCCTAATGATTTTTGGCATAAAAGAAAAATCGATAATTTTGACCCATACAATGTTTTTTTGACTATTGCTAAAAGTATACCCAAGTGACTTAAGACTGGTTTTGTGGTCCAGGGTCACATTTTATATAAACTATGTTTGTCATGCATGAAACAAAAATTAGGTAAGTTAATGTACTGAATTATAGTTCAGTTAATAGGCATCAATTGGAGTTCAAAATGTCACCTCATGCAAATGTAAATTATTATACGGAGACATTTTCAGATGTTTTAATTTTAATGTTTTTATACCATAATAGCCAATATGAGCATTGTCACTATAGTGCAATATCTTGTCTGAATAATGCTTGCACGAACTAAAAATGAGCAAAGTCAATTAAGGCAAAATATATTACAACAGCTTATACGTCACAATAATACACATAAAGGTCCTTCAAAACAATTAATTACATAAACAAATGCATATGTATATGTACAGACATTTAATTTACATGTACACTCTTAAAAATAAAGGTGCTTCACGATGCCATAGAAGAACCTTTTTGTTTAAATGGTTCCATAAAGAACCTTTAACATCTGAAGAACCTTTCTGTTTCACAAAAGGTTCTTTCTGGCGAAAGAAGGTTCTTCAGATTACAAAAAGGTAAGAAAGAGATGGTTCTTTAAAGAACCTTTGACTGAATGGTTCTTTGTGGACCCAAAAATGGTTCTTCTATGGTATCGCTTGAAGAACCTTTTGAAGCACCTTTATTTTTAAGAGTGTAGCTATGCATTTCCCGGGTTTGGGAACTGCTCTTATTGTCGCTGAATACAAAGACTTACAGCATATACTACAGCAAGTGATTACCACACATATCAGGCAGTGACGACAAAAACAATTAGGATCACAGGCCTGTTTCTAATCATTTTTGTAATGTAATATGCAGTTGTCATTGTCAGTCTCTTTGACGTTATCATGGACAGGTCTTCACTACTGGCTGCATGTTATTGAGATTATATTGGTGATGAGATTGTCTTTATTTGCTCTTCTTTCCAAAGACTGCAGTGGACATCTGGTTTCACAGTGAACTCAGAGCCCTGCACTTGCTCTCAAAGGCAGCACAATGAAAGTTCAGTGCTTCTGTGAGCTGATGTCACAAACCCTGGCGTTTTTACTGACTTCTTTTAAAAGGGAAAATCTAGCTCAGTGCGAGCAGAGACTCATTTAGCTTTCCGTCCCCGTGCCCGCTTTGATCTTTTGTTTTTTTATCTGGGTATGAGCGTATCCCACAGACTTGACTCCCGATTCGTTGTGCTGCCGTGTGTATCTTTTGCATTTGCAGGAGGTCACCACTGTGATCTTGTAGGTCCTGGTGCTGCCATCCTGACACAGGAGCTGAATCCGCTGGGTCCGGGTCTTGTCGTTCACGCAGCGCCAGTCCTGACTGTTTCGACGATTCCAGAACTTCCTACCATATCCGCCAATCCAGTTGGGCAGCATTTGAGCTGGAAGACATTGTCCAGTGCACACCAGTTCCTTAACAGGGTTTATGCTGGTACATTGGCCGTCTGAGATGTATTTTGTGGATCGCAGCTCTCTGCAGCCGACTGGGATTCGTGCTGTAACACAAAGTGATAAATAACGTTTAGCCAGATTTACATATCAATATCAGATCAACACAAGTCTTTTAAGATCTATGAAGAAAGACTTAGGCCTATAGGATTCACCTTGGTGCTGTTCCTTCACGGTTTGTGAACAGACATAAACAACAGTGGTATGGATGATATGCTTGGTTTTCTTTACTTAAGCCCTTATCTGAACTGAGCGGAAATGGTTTAGTGTACAGATGAATGACGACTCTGAGCCTCTTATTGTCGGATTTCGCCGGTGCTGCTGGCTATACTGTCAGCATTGTTCTGCCTCAGAGAAGAGCCTCCTGTCAGCGTAACCCGAGCCAAAATCTATTCAAACAGCAGCAACACACCTCAGTTAAAATGTGCCCCCCTCTCTGTGACAGGACATGATGAATGGGGATCGGAGGGACATTTTCTTCCTCCCCACTTCAAAACAAACAGGGTTCCCCCTGGAGACTTCCTGAAAAGCTGAGCTGCACCTCCACTCTCCAGTCTGACAAGATTCACTCAGCACACATTGTACTCGACAACAATTCATCTCTACTCCCCGATGTGGTTATGAGCCAAGAGACTGTGTAATATATATAATTTCCTACAGTATTTTGCCATACCGTTAACCTTAACACACAGAGCTAACTTTCTCCTTGCAACATACAATTACTTGCATATTATTAATACATTTCAGTGTTAATGTAAATGGTGTTTCATGACTCATTACTGTTTAAATTTTGCTGCAAAGTCTATAATAGCCTATTTAATGGTGGTTTTCACTGTCAGAACCCATATTGTGTGACAACATGCCCCACTACACATCAACATATATGTTAAATGATCTGTATTGATCTGTATGATCTGACAGTGGAAGATGGCCAAGACTTTAAGGCATACGCAGTGTTGGGGAAAGTTACTTTTAAAGGTAATGCATTACAATATTGCGTTACTTCCTAAAAAAGTAACTAATTATGTTACTTAGTTACTTTTTATTGAAAGTAATGCGTTACGTTACTTTTGCGTTACTTTTTGAATCTGGGCTGGGCTTGCTTGTTTGCTTTTAATATAAAAAGTTATATTTTTGGCAAATATAAAAGCCCTTTCACACCAAAAGCCTCAGGCTGAAGGAAATGCAAATTCACGTCTGTACATTAGAACACAGAAGAAGAAAGTTCAACACTCTTCAGCAATAAAAAAAGAAGAAGAAATATTCGTTTATCTTGTGTAATTTTTGCTTATTAGTATGGTTGAATTGGATTACTGAAGGTCAGCAGCAAATAAATGGGATTAAATACATAAAGGATATTTGTATTATTTAACATATTTAATTATTGC